CATATTAAGGCCATAGATAAATACTAAACATGTCCAAGAAGCAAAAGCAGATGACCATATCAGCCCATGTCCAGAAACAAGATAAAATATCTGAAACAAATGACCTAGAGGTAGACGTGGACTACATTCTGGAAGGAGGGCAGGCCTTGAAAGTGCCTGAGAAGGAATTCAGAAAAATGATTACAAAATACTTTACAATGGAGTTGAGAAAAATAAGGAAGAAATCAGGAAAGCGCTACAGGAACAATCAAATAAGATAGATACAGCATTGGAAACAATTCAAAAACCACAGAAAGAAGTCCAAGCTATCAATAATATAATATCAGAAATAGACAAAACATTGACAGGGCAAAGGAGTAGAACAGAAGAGATGGAAGGCAGAACTAGTGAGCTGGAAGACAACTTTCTAAATGCCAGTAAGATACAAGAGCAAGCAGAAAAAGTATTTAAAATATCTGAAGAAGATCTAAGATTCATGTTGGATAACATGAAGAGGAATAATTTAAGAGTTATTGGCATTCCAGGACAGGAAGAATCACACAACTCCACAGAGGAAATAGTTGAAGAACTGCTAGAAGAAAATTTCTCTAATATTCTGAAAAGCACAAAGATAAACATTCAAGAAGCTCAATGAACCCCAGGAAGGATAGACCCCAATAGAAAACGACCAAGACATATCATAACCAAGCTCTCCAAAATCAAAGATAAGGAGACAATCTTGAAAGCAGCTAGGGAAAAGGGAAGCATTACATACAATGGCAAGTAAGTCAGATTAAGCTTGGATCTCTCATCAGAAACCATGCAAGCAAGAAAGCAATGGGGAGACATATGTAAAACCCTGAAAGAAAAAACAACAACAACAACTGTCAACCAAGAATCCTTTATCCAGCAAAGCTATCAATCAAATATGATGGTGTATTCAAAACATTCCAGGATAAAAAGAAGCTAAGGGATTTTTCCAAAGCCAATCCTGCACTTCAAAATATCCTAAGTGGAATTCTGTGGACTGAGAACCAAGAAAAACAGACAACAATCAGAGCTACATATGTGGCAGCATGTCCCAGAACTAAATCTACAGGAGGAATAGTCAAGAACAGAACAGAACTGTAAGAGCAAACTCAGAGAAACTGGGAGGTCAGTCTATGATCAAAACAATTACAATGTGAAAGAAGGTGAACACGTAGGAACAGAGATCCAGATGATGAGAAGGTCAGGTAAATTACAGGGTAAAAAAGACTGCACTAAATGGAGGGAACAGTTAATGGACTATAAGGTAACCTCAGAAAAAAAAAAAGAATACTTCACAACATACCAAGAAAATGACAATCCAAGAAGAATATGGAAACATTAAAACTATGAGGAAACGCAATAAAGAACACAAAAAGCATGAACTCAGCAAAGGAAGACACACAGAACAAAGAAACAGCAACACCACAAAAAAAAACAAACGTAATGGAGCAATTAACCCATACCTATCAATAATTACACTGAATGTAAACGGATTAAATGCACCAGTTAAGAGACAGAGGGTGGCAGAATGGATAAGAAAACAAGTTCCTTCAATATGCTGTCTGCAAGAGACACATGTCACACACAGAGACAAAAAAAGATTAAAAGTCAAAGGATGGAAAAAAATATACCAAGGTAATTGTAATAAAAAACGAAGAGGAGTGGCAGTACTAATCTCTGGTAAAATAAATTTTAAGGCAAAAACCAACAAAATAGATAAAGATGGACATTATCTCATGATTAAAGGGACAATTGAACAAGATGACATAACCACAATAAATACCTATGCTCCCAATGAAAGAGCTCGAAAATATATAAAGCAAACTCTAACAAAGTGGAAAGGAGCTCTGGTAGCATAGTGGTTACGAATCAGGCTGCGAACCACAAGGTCAGCAGTTTGAAACTACCAGCTGTTCTGCAGGAGAAAGATGAGGCTTTCTGTTCCCGTAAAGATTTACAGCCTCATATGCATGTGAAAGTTGGATAGTTAATAAGGAAGACCACAAAATAATTGATACATTTGACTTATGGTGTTGGAAGGCAATATTGAAAATACCATGAATGGCCAAAAGAACAAGCAATTTTGTGTTGAAAGAAGTACAACCAGAATACACCTTGGAAGCCAGGATGGTCAGACTTCATCTCTCATAGTTCATACATATTATCAGAAGGGATCAGTCCCAGTAGAAGCACATCATGCTTGGTAAAGTGGAGGGTCAGAGAAAAGAGGAAGACCCTCCAAAAGACGGATTTGTACAGTGGCAGCAGCAATGGGCTCAAGCATAGTAACAGTTGTGAGTTTGACACAGGACTGGGCAATGCTATTGTGCATAAGGTCATTATGAGTTAGTACCATTTCAAAGACACGTAACAACAACAACAACACACAAGGACCTCACTAAATGGAATACATAGGAATCTAAAGCAACTGGAACACATTGTAAAATAAAACATTTGAATAGAAACTTTGTAAGGGTAACTCAAGAAGATGAAATAAAGTATGATAATGAAATGTACAAAAACCTGGAATTGGGATACCAAAAGGGAAGAACACACTCAGCATTTCTCAAGCTGAAAGAACTTTAGAAAAGGATCCAGGAATTGGTGGAATACAAATTTAAATGTTTCAAAAAACTGATGAAGCACTGGAGACACTGACCAAACAATTGGAAGATATATATACTTTTACCCATTATAAAGAAAGGTGATTTTAATGAATGCTGAAATTATCAAACAGTATCATAATTATCACATGCAAGTAAAATTTTGCTTCAAATAATTACTAAATGTTTGCAGCAGTAAGTAGGAAAGGTGTCTGTCAGGGTTGGTTGGTTGTGTTATGTGTCGTGGAGTCAGTTCTGACTCATAGCGACTCTGCATAGGGTTTCTGAGGCTGTAAATCTTTGCTGCTGTTGTTGTTATGTGTAGTGGAGTCAGTTCCGACTCATAGCGACCCTGTACAGGGTTTCCGAGGCTGTAAATCTTTATGGGAGCAGAAAGCCCCATCTTTCTCCCACAGAACAGCTGGTAGTTTTGAACTGCTGACCCTGAGGTTAGCAGCCCGATTTGTAACCACTACGCTACCAGAGCTCCTTACATTAACAGGGAACTACCAGAAATTCAAGTGGAATTCAGAAGAGAACACAGAACTAGGGTTATCATAGCTGTCCAATGGATCGTGGCTGAAAGCAGGGAATACCAGAAAGGTGTTTACTTATTCTTTATTGACTATTCAAAGTCATTCCACTGTGTGGACCATAACACACTATGGGTAACATTGCAAAGAATGGGAATTCCAGAATACTTAGTTGTCCTCAGGAGGATGTTGCATATAGACCAAGAGGCAGTCATTTGAACAGAACAAGGAGATACTGAGTAGTTTTAAATTAGGAAAGGTGTGTGTCAGAGTTGTATTCTTCCAGAATATTTATTCAATATTTATGTTGAGCAAATAATCTGAGAAGTTGGATTGTATGAAGAAGAACATGGCATCAGGACTGCAGGAAGATTTATTAATAACTGGCAATATGCAGATGACACAACCTTGCTTTTGAATAGGAAGAGGATTTGAAACAGTGATGAAGATCAACAACAGTATGAATTGTACCTCATTGTAAAGAAAACAAAATCCTCACAACTGGACTAGTAAATAACATCATAATAAACAGATGAAAGATTGAAATTGTCAAATCTTTCATTTTACTTGACTCCACAATGAACACAGATGAAAGCATTAGTCAAACAATCAAACAACGTAATGCATGGGTAAATTTGCTGCAAAAGACCTCTCTAAGGAGATTGTAATCATTGCAATGAAATGATGAGTTTAAAACCAATGTTCTACCATGTAAACTATCACTCAATTTGCAATTAAAACAACAACAACAACTCTGTAAAGTGTTAAAGAGCAAAAACATCACTTTGAAGACAAAGATATTCCTCACCCAATCTATGGTATTTTAAATCACCTCATATTCATGCAAAACCTAGACAATGAATAAGGTAGACTGAAGTAGAATCCAGGCATTTGAATTATGGTGTTGGCAAAGTGCAAACAAATTCGTTTTAGAAGAAGTAAGGTTATATTTCCTCCTTGGAAGCAATGGTGGCAAGACTTAGACTTCTTTCATACTTTGGACATGTTTTCATGAAGGAATAGTCTCTGGAGAAGGATATCATGTTTGGTAAAGTACAGGGTCAGCGAAAAAGAGAAAAGTCCTCAATAAGATAGACTAACACAGTGACAACAAACAAAACAGCTGTGAGGCTGGCACAGGACTGAACAGTATTTTCTTGCTGCACATATTGTTGTTATGTGACTCCGGGTATAAAACAACAACATTCTATCAAATTTCTTTGATTGATCTTGCCTTAAAATCTAAAATTATAAAAATACCCCTAAGAAAACCTCTTGTCATATTTGAAAGACACAATTAGTATTATGATAAGTCAATGCTGCTATGTTGAAAATTTCCCAGGTGTGATTACCTGAATGAAATGATGTCTGTGCTATTTGAGTGTGCTCTGGCCATCAGCATGGCCAGGTCATTGGCTTCTGAGCCGCTGTTTGTCAAGAAAATGACCTGGAAGGAAAAGAGAGACAATAACTTTGTAACTTCTTTCCTGTTACATGATTAATTCAAAATTATTAAAGGCTGAGTATTCCAGTCTTGGATTATTAATGAGTGTTCCCCTCAGATCAGCTTGGGTTACCTAATAGTCTGATCACTTAATTAGTCTACAATCCTTCAATGAGCAGCTGCTAAGTGCTAGAGATATAAATGATTAAGATATAAAAATTGTCATAGTTATGGAAGATTCTGGGATTTCGTTGGCTTTATATGATGCTCTGCAAACTGTTATGACCTGGGGATTTGCTGAATAGTACATAATGGTTGTGTGTATGTGTGTGTGTGGTTGGAGTCCTGGTGTGGCACTCTAGGATAAGCACTCAACCTCATGGTTGATTTGAACTGCAAGGTCAGTGGCTCAAACTCACCAGCTGCTCCTCAGAAACCCTATACAGGATTGCTATGAGTTGGAACCAACTGTATGGCACACAACAACAAACACAGTGGTTAGTTGTTGAATGGATTTGGGGATCAGTTATCCTAACTAAACCTACACCAGTCTGCCTATCTCCAAAGGGTTAGGGCAAGGGTCCATCTCATTCATGGCCAACACAATGAAACCAGAATGTACTAGATTATAAAATGTGGGTGAACTGGAATGATAACCAGAATGGGGAAAATTACAGATCAACACACTTCTATAATTTTTTCCATTCCGAGTTTTCATTTCACTTCACACAAATTTTAAACATTTGAGTCTATTCCAGTTTTGCTCCATCAGGCATGACTGAACCAGTTTGAGCTGCTCCAAAGTCCTGTTTAGAAAAAAACAAAACAAAAAAAACAGGCTTCCTGACTCTGCAGCCTCAGAAGATGTCCCAATCTTACTGTCCTGTTTGTGAAAATAAGCAAGCACACACACACACACACACATACACACACACACACAATGCATCTCACACAATGCATCCCAGCCTTGCCAAAGGCATGGGGAACTAAAGGGATATGGTCCCTCAGACTCTGGAACTGGCAGGTGGGTGTATGTTTGTACCTTTGCCAACTTCCTTGCTTCTGCCCTTCCGTGAATATCCCTGTGCTGAACTCAGGTCACAGCAATGAGACGTTTCTTTGTTTTAACCAACCAATTAGTTGCCATCCAGTTGATTCTGACTCATGGAGAATTCATGTGTGTCAGAGTAGACCTGCATGCATAGGGTTTTTAATGACTGATTTCTCAGAAGTAGATGATCAGCTCTTTCTTCCAAGATGACTCTGGGAGGACTAGAACCTTCAGTATTTTGGTGAGAAGGAAGTGTGTCAACCATTTGCACCACCCAGGGACTCCCTTATCTTGGCGCAACAGTAAGATACTAATAATAGCTAACACTATGTACTGAGTACTGGTTTAAGCGCTTCATATGTATTAACCCATTTGGTACCTTAAATTCTGGCCAATGTTTTAACATCACAATTCAGGTAAAAATTCAGCCATTTCAGGGATAGAAAAATATTTTTTGCAAAAATGTCTAAATGTATCTTAAACCAAACGAACTAGATGGTTTATTAATTATATAAAAAATGACTGTGCTTTGAAAGAGGAAATACAAATAACTTTGCAGAAGGGCTATGGAGCAAAGAAATGGAAACCTCTGGAATAAAGAGAAGAAAGTTGGAAAGGCTGGGACTCCTGAGAAATGCTTTCTACAAAGATGTGGTGGTGAGAACAACCAAGAGGAGGCAGAGACTCAGAGATGACGTACATCAGCATTGACCCCAGAAATGTTGTTGCACCAGCCTCCACAAATTCTTTTTTTCTGCTCGATTGTTTTTACATACGGGTATTGGCTTAATTCTCCATTGTTTAGACTAAATCCCCAACCCATGGTTCAATTTACTACAGCAACTCTCTTGGCTCCTAGGACCACGAGTCTGGTGTTCCTTTGAACTGGGGTCTCATACCTTAAGAGGCTCAGGAAGAATTGCTGAGAGCTTCTCTGCATATTCATGCATTGGCGGATGGAAGAAGACAGAACTTGTGTGCCACAGACGACTAAGTTGCTTTTGGGCTACTGCATTGACCTTCCTGGAATAACAAGAAAGCAGAGTTACTTATACTGCCAGCAACATGTCCCAGCCAATACACACACTGGCTATTGAACTAAAACCAAACCAGTTGACTAGATCCCAATTTATGGAGACCTATGTGATACAGTAGGGGTGGATTACCCAATAAACAAAGTAAGTATAGGCTTACTTGTACTTACTAATCTGTAGTGAACAATTTCATATTGGTTTTTCAAATCCTGAGATGCTTGTGCTAGTGTGAAATTGTTCACTATAGATTAGTAGGCAAGCACAAGTCAACTCATGCTTGTCTTGCTTATTAAGTGCTCCATCCCTCTTAGAGATTGAAAATTTCAAAAGAGGCTTTGTGTTTGTAGGAAGGTGCTGTGGGGTTGGGAGAGAGACAGATGCCAGCCATACATAGTAACATAATCTTTGCTGTGGTGAAAAAATGGGGAAGTATTCACTACAGATTAGTATGTAAGCACAAATAAACCGGTGCTCTCAGTGCTTATTGATCACAGGTTATACAGTAGAACTGTTCCTTAGGATTTTATTGACTTTATGGAAATAGGTCCTAGGTCTTTCTTCCAAAGTGCCTCTTGATAGATTTGAACAACCAAACTTTTTTTTTTTTTAAAGTTTTTATTGTGACTTGCGTGATAGTTTACATGGGAGAACATCGGGTTTTACACTCATCATTTCATTGCAATAATTACAATCTCTTCCATGCATCATCATTCAACAGTATTTGCTTCTATTCCCTCTGTTTTATTTTATTTTATTTTTTTATTTTTGTTTGTTTGTTTGTTCTTTGGGGGGAGGAATACACACAAAATGAATACATAATCATTTCAACAACCCAAGGGCACATTCTGTAAGCCAGCTTCCTGGCCACCAGCACATAGCCTTTCTCTTTCCATGAGTCTAGAGCCCTCAGCTGTTCTGTCTCTCCATGTCATCATCTCTTCCTCCATCTCTGGTGTTCCTGCTTGTGTAGATAGGTTTCCACATTTTGCTTGTGCTCTTCTCTCTTGATGGTCCTACAGTCCTCTGTTCCTGGAATGTAAGATTAACGCCTTCCCTGTTTGTGTTACAAAACTTCTAGCTTTACAGCTGTGATAGTCACAATTAGTCATGATAACAATTACTCACTATTGAATCATAAGAATATTATCCCCATCTCCTTTTACCAGATCTGTCTAGACAAGATGAAACCTAGTAGGTATTTTACCTGCCCCCGCACATTGTGATACTAAGCTCCCTCTTGAAAACTTGTAAGCTCATCACTTTGTACCTTAATGCAACCCCATTTTAAGTAGCCAGTGTCTAAGTTGCCCATCCCTATCAACCCTGCATACGGAAGGGATAGGATTGATTCTTGATGTAAAAACTCCTTCCCTCTCAGTTTTGAACAACCAAGCAAACCATATGTCCCACCTAGGGACTTCCTTCAACCTAAACATATAGTTATGTCTCAAGGAGTTTCAAGAGGAACACAAGAAAGTATGTCTTTAACAAACAGAGATATCCAACAATGAAATGTGTAGTCTGACAAAATAATGCAGTTATCTTTAAGAGAAGTATTCAAAGGAGATTAAGGAATTGGCTGTTAGTACTTTATGTTGGGTCCTCTAGAGAACAAAACAAGTGAAACTTAAATCTGTCTATATAAGTAAATTCTATTAGGTAAGGTGCTGTTGAGTTAGTTCTGACTCATAGAGACACCATACACAACAGAATGAAACAATACCTGGTCCTACACCATCCTCACAATTGTTATGATATTTGAATTCATTGTTGCAGCCACTGTACCAGTCCATCCTATTGGGTGTCATTCTCTTTTTCACCAACCCTCTATGAGTATATGTGGAGATTTATTTCAAGAAAATAGCTCACACGATTATAGTCTGACAAGTCCCAAATCTGTGGGTCAGACATCAGGCAAGAGACTTCTCCTGATTCATGTAGCTTCAGGGATGGATAAACCCAAGAACCCAAGATTGGAAAGTCAGATGGTAGGCTGCTGGTACAAAGGCTGATGAATCCAAGATTGGCAGGTAAGATGGCAGACTGATGATTTACAGGCTAAGAAGGCTAATGAATTCAAAGTTTGGCAGGCAATAAGGCAGGTAGCTGGCTCAAGTCTGGAGGTTATATGATGGATGATGAGTCAGATGCAGGATATAGATCTAGTCAAAAGTCAGAGACCTTTGCCAGAACGCCCATACATATTGGATGCAGACCACAGCTCCAAGGAAACTCTGTTTCAATTATTTATAGCAGACCTTATCATGGAAATGTTTATATTATATTAGATTTCATCATAGTGAATTATTACATCATTACATAACTGCCAACCACTGAGACTTGTGACTCATCCAAGTTGACACAAAGTCTTAACAGTCATAGGGCTTTTATGAAAGAAATTTCTGGCTTTAGACTTAGAATCTCTTCTAACTCTAAGTTTAATTTCCCTTTGAACTATTTGGAAAATAGAGATGACTAGATGTAAGCCTTCCCATTTTATTCTTAGGAACATAGATCCATTAATTTACATGTATGCATGATCAACAATTTCTTCTTAAAAGGAAATTCCAATATCTAGGATTGAGTAGTAGAGTTGATAAATATTTCATAAGGGTGATACTACTTCTCTAAAGGATCAGATCAACTTTAAAGGATCAGAAGGTTCACGTTCAGGAAACAGCGTACATAGGTATCTGGGCCACCAACTGTCTATTAGTTTATTATACTATGATGGCTTTCATGTTGCTACGATGCTGGAAGCTATGCCACCAACATTTCAATACCATCAGAGTCATTTCAGTGGAGCTTCCAAATTAAAACAGAGTAGGAAGAAAGACCTGTGGATTTGCTTTAAAAATTAGCCAATGAAAACCTGATGTATCAACAGAGTACTGTCTGGAGGATTCAAACATGTTAATGATCACGGAAATGGTACAGGACTGGGGAATGTGTCATTCTGTTGGGGGATCATCATGAGTTGGAATCAATATGATAGCAATTAACAAGGCTGCTAAAAATTATTTAGTAACTGATGGATGGGGAGATGGGATAGGGCCAATTCTATGTGTGTGTGTGTGGGGGGGGAATGTGGTAAAATATGGTAGAAAGGGAGTGTAGTCATTAAAATTGAGGGCTAAGGAAAGAGTCCAGGACACTCAGAATCAGGGGGTTAAGGAACAAGCTAAAGGATCAGATCAAGAGAAGTACAAAAGTTATGAAGGCCAGAGACAATGGTTGATTATTAAAGGGACCGTTTCAAAGGCCATTGGATTGAATGAGAACTTTTACAGTTTTTTATGATTTTATCTTTCTCTACTTCTTCCATGTGTGTTTGTTCTATGTTTCAAATTTCATCTGAAATTTATTTTGGGAGCTTCTCAGGACCTCGTCTGAGACAGCATGAGAAGGTTTTGGGAGAAGAAGATGAGGGCTGGATCCTAAAGGTACAGCTAACTCATCTTCTGAGAGTTGCTTGAAGAGGAAACCCTTTGCTTACTGCTTTGACAAAAGGTCCCAAACCTATTGAATTTATTTTATGCTTACTATTTTATATTTTTATGTAAAATAAATTTTATTGACCATATTATTAAAGTCAAGAGAGAAGAGACATTAAAGTGAGATTGTTGTTGTTGCTATTAAGTTGGTTTGGACTCATAGTGACCCTATACACAACAGAATGAAATACTACCCAGTGCTGTGCCATCCTTGCAACCGTTGTTATGTTTGAGCGCATTGTTTTTGCCATTGTATCAATCCATCTATTGTGGGTCTTCCTCTTTTCTCTGACCCTGTACTTTACTATGCATGATGTCCTTCTCAAAGGACAAGTCCCT